TTGGAACATTGAAAGTTTAGTAAAACTCTTTTGAAAGTTTGGAGATTGTGATCGGGAGGAGTCATTATGACGACTTCACATGGAGGTCACGTTTACTATGTGATCAAAGTGCCCAAAGATGGTGACGTTAATGAGAGGTAAAGGATTATTCCAATCAAAGGATTAAAGAATGTTTATCCATTTTCGGGGTATCTAATTTCGAAGAAAATTCTTCAGGCTGATTGGGGAGCATATGAAATCATTATTTCTGAATAAAAACAAAACAATATTTCTTGATGATGCTTCTTAATTTTTGTAATTAAGAAAAATTGAACGCAGTAGCTTAGACGAAATGAAATGAACAAATTATTTATTCTCAAAGTCGTAATTCACCTGTTAGAAAACTCAGAAAATGAAAATAAAAATTTAGGGTAATGTGAAAAAATATATTGGGTACAGTGGCCAAGGACGAACCAAATAATGCAGATATTTTAAATTTTAAGCCCCATATAACCTCATGTTAACGCCTACATTCGGTCGACATTGTCGATTTCATCTCTGAATAATGGAGTCGCGTTGGGGGATTAAAATTTTCATTAACATGAAGGAGATAACTCTGCCACCCACTTAAAAAAAATTTTTTTTTGAGTGCTTGGGGTTTTGGGTAAATATCACGGAGAAAAACAATTTTTATTTTCAGGGACATGTCATTTTCGGAAAGTTATGGCCAATTATTAGGGATCCGCGATTGCTAAATTCAGTGAGGAGGAAATTCTGAAATACACGGATTGTGACACGAATTTTCAGGATTATTATCGCTAATTTCCAGTGACATGATCACTAATTTTTAGAGAACTAGACAAGGAAGTGAATGAATAGCCAATTGAAAATACGGTAGTTTACGCGTATTATTTATGGTCGTTAGGTAGTTATTTATTCATTAAAAAGCAGTTAATATTCGTTCTTATTGTGTTTAGATTTGAAAAATAAAAAATCTTTTGACAAGCGCATGAATAACAAATTACTTGTTCACGATTTTAAAAAAATTATCATTCATTATTCTCATTATTATTACTCATTTATTTGACTAATTAAAAGTTTGTATTATAAATAGCAATTTTTTATTATTAAACCTCCCCTTTCACTCTACGATAAACTTGAAATATTCCTAAGTCTAGCATTAGTTTAGCGAAATTGATTGCTGGCCGAAAATGTTTCAACTATTTTTTAATAGAGGAATGTCACTGATCTTCAGGTACCCATCTCTAATTTTTAGGAATCTATCACTAATAATTGTGATTGTGACATACAAACATCAGCAGAATCATAAATTTTAAATTAATTAATTAATCACCAATTAAATATCCAAATTCCGAATTATTTTATCAATCAATAATTGAGTTCTGAGGATTGACGATTATTTTTTCTAATCGAAAATCCCTGTTAAGAAATTTAGAAATATTTCTCCAATAGTCAACTAAAAATTTAAACTATCAATTATTTTATAAATTTCAAATTTCAACAGAAAATATTAAAATTTATAATTGATGCCGATTCCTGGTGACATATGCCTGAAAATCAAAACTTTTTTCTCTCTGTGCTCCTCAAAAATAATTCAGTAGTGAAGTGGTAAACGGAGATGCGTCGACCTATCTCCCAAGTTGAGTTTTTGAGGAATATTTCCGAATCTAAGAGAGATAGCGAAATTTTCGTAATTACATTGATTGTAGCACTCAATCGGCTCCACAAAAAAGATTATAACAAAAATTTTGCTGTCTCCCTTAGATTCCGAGATATTGATTGAAAACTGGTCAATAGTCAAAATTGACTTATCTCCTTTTACCACTTCGCTGCTGAATTCGTTCGAGATCTAGAGTAATTATTCATGAACTATTACACACTATCTCAATTGGCATCCTCGGTTGTACGCCCCAGCGACAAGTGTAAGGAGGCCAGCCCATAACCGCCCAGAGGTCTTCAACCCCTCCACTCATACCTACACTAGAGCATTTCTTATGTGTCATTACATACTGAGCTGTACGATGAACCGTAACTCCTGACCCCGAGTACAAATACCCCCTGCGGTCACCACTCATTTTCACCGAGAGGAAGAGGATTTTTAATGCAACCCAGAGTCGTTGACTGACAGTTTATCCTCAAAGTACCTCAGTTTGAAAGCCCCATCGTCGAGGCTGCACCAGGTGTGCCTAGACGCCTCGTCTTTCATAGAGAAAAAATGTTTCGGCGAAAAATGCTTGAATGAGGGGGGACATTTTTTTTTATTCCTCAGAGACTGAGGAAGTTGGCTCTGGGCGTTATTTTTTTATGTTTCCAACCATAGACTGGTATCTCGGTAATTTCTGGGTGCATAGACCTCGAAGAAAAGAGGATAACTGAGGGCTTTCACCTGGGAATTCTGTCATGTCGCTCTAAACCTATTTTTTAGAAGCTAAATTATCATTTTGTTCGAGATGATGGGCATAATTTGGATTTTGCACGCATTTTTTTATTAATAAATCATATCATTCTTTAATTTTTGAAGAAGGCAAAAGAAATACGTAAAACCATTTAATTACGCGCATGACAAACCTAGCGAATTTCTATTGAACTTCTATTGAAAATTCCATTAACTTAGTCGATTCAATTGAAAAACTCCGGAGCTTCACTGCGCGTTTTTTATGTAAAATGTAAATAAAAAATATTGTATAGAAAAATCTGTAGAATTTCATCTTTCTATACAACTTTTTCTATTCAGACATTTTATCCAAGAATTCCTCGATATTAATGTTCCCAGTTTTTTCACTTTATTTTTCTCTTCTCTTCATTAAAAAATTCAAACAAAAAATTCAAAAACATTGAGCCTAGGATTTTTTTTTAGAAAATATCTGAATAGAATAAGTTGAATGGAGAAATCAAATTCTGTTGCAGCTGCAACGATTCTTAATAATAATAACTTGGGCTCCACCCACATGACGAGAATGTACGAATCCTATTCATTTTCTCTATTGAATTATTTCCGTTGGACATTTTAATGCAAAAAAACGCGCAGACAAGCCGCGGTATTATAAAAAATCCAATAGAATGTTTTAACGAATCCGCTAGGTTTTTCCATGCAATTTTATCGTACGTGTAATCTATCTGTGATGAGAAATTTATTGGCTTCATCATGTGCCAGATAATTTATCCATAAAATGTCTCGTCAGAATGAGATGATAATTTTTACTGGAATTATCCAACTCCTCGTCCGTCTGAGTTTTATAATATCACAGGCTTTCCAGTCGCCAGTCTGGCGCTCATCCAACCCATTTCTCCATTGTCTCGTTTCCCATTTCTTCGTCATATCTGCACAGTTATGTTCGTGACAGCAGTGCTTTTCGAATTGATGAAATAATAAAATCGGACAAAAAGAAAGTACACACGAGAATCGAAACTGTAACGTTCGATCTGGTCTAGATTTCCCCTGATAAATGTACATTCGATAAAAATGAGTATGGAGTGAAAAATTCGTCGATGAGGCAAGGAGTGGCTTGTGCGATAAGAAATCGAAGTGGATGAATGTACTTGCGCATGCTGGGAGCGGCTCCATTGATAATACTCATCCCCATGTGATACTGTTCAGTTTGTCGTTTATTTGGTGCTACGCGTTTGTTCCCTTACAATTTTTTCCTCGGGTCTTCGTGTAAATGTTTGATCGATACAAACAGTGGATCCCTTTCTCCTCGCTGACGCCGGTCTCCATTTCCTCTCGAGGATTTTTGGCAATCAGGGTTCAAGGGTCGAACGAGGGGATTTAAAAAACAAGCAAAACGAAACGGGAAATGAGAATACTTCCTACGATTTTTTTTTTTCATGAAGAAATTAGTGACTGAAATAAAAGTTTTGATTTTCGGGGACATCTCACTGATTTTTAAGAATTTACTCACTGCTGTTAGGGATCCGCGATTGTGAAATTTAATGCACAAATTCAGAGTTTTTGTTAATAATTTTTAATGATATCACTAATTTTCAGGAAAATTTCACTGATTCTAGGAATTTCTCCCTAATTTTTAGTGACATTAACACTAATTAAAACACCATCTAATTGTTTTTTTCTAATTAAAATTATCAATAATTAATCAATCTATTTATATTATAAAAAAAACACAATTCACGAAGTTTTATTCCGACTTCAAACACAATGAAATATGTGTTGACAAGTCACTAATTTTGTCACTAATTTTTAGAAATCTCTCCCCAATTTCTAAAGATTAGTGATTGTGAAATTCCGCAGGCACAAAATTCTAGAATTCAGAGTTCTGTTTTTATTTTTAGTAACATTAACACTAATTTACACTAACATCGAAATTCTTTTTCGTTCATTTGACTAAAATGCTCCAAAATTGTCAAAATGGCTTCATTATAAAAAAAAATAAAAGACAAAAAAGACTAAAAGAACAAAATTTCCGGAAATATCCCCATTGTTTTTTCCTCCCACCACTCGCCAGTGTCAACATTACTGCAAACCCCGCATTAACTACTTGACTACGAACTCGAGTAACAATAGAACATCTCATATTTCGCCAGTGGGGAGGCCGCAATTAGGGCCGATTGCTGACATAATGTCACGGTCATTGAAACACAACTCGTCCAGTCAGGCTCTCACGTAACTTATCGCACGCTCGGTTAGATTGGACGCGCCCAGAAAAATAAACGATAGAGTGGGAAAAAAATCAGGGGAATTGAATGAAAAAATCATTAAATGGAAAAAACAACAATGTCCCAGAACCGACAGTTGTTTTTAAGCATTTCCTCCGGTGAATTCATCGCCCTTTGACGCGAGAGGAAAGAAATGAATGTAACGATTGAGGAAATTAAATGGCCTATTCATTGTCACGGTCGTTGGGTATCGATTGTTCCCTCACGCCGATTATCTCTCTGTCTGCTTAGATCTATATTTCATCGCGTTCGAGTGACGTCGGACGTGGAGTAATCGCAATAACTAATGACGATAATTAATGCCTGTCATTTTCATTTATTTGTAGCACCGACAGCGGCTGGGACAATCCATTCAGACCCGATGGCGATCTCTCTCGAGAGGCCGATGAGATCGTTGAATTAATAAAAGGTGGCAAACCAATAACACCTACACCAGGACAAAATGCACCACCATTGCCCGGTTGCGATGGCAAACCCAGTGATGATCTTGATTCGAGTACCAGTCCATTATTGAACTCTGGTCATGTTACTCATGGCAATGGCACACCTCACGGAAATCAAAATGCCAAGCAGCCCGTCAACGAGAAGGTGACTCCACGTCATTAAAGATTACAAATATACAAATATTCAAAAATTAATCAGAGGATATTGTGTTGAAAAATATGTTCGATTGCGTTTGGACGAAAAGGTGCACGTTCAATGACTTTTGCATCTTCTGGCATTCATACTGACGCGATTATTAGATTGCATTTGGTTTTTTAATTTTCACGAACCCCTTTTTTTGCACGGAGACAAAAATCACTGGAAATATTCGGGAAGTTTGAAGCAACGGAGAGTAAAGGATGAATTTTCCCTTTTGGAACAGTATTTTTGCTGCATTTTAATTCCATTTTTTTCGTTGATTTTTTTCTCCGTATTGGTCTCTAGTCTTATGATTGTCATTATTACGATATGGATCATCTTCATGGATTTGTGGCTAACATTCACGAATTGGTAATTTTGGGGGCATATTTTGGCTATTCAGAGGGCTTTTAACACGACTCAGCGATCACACATGCCTAAAAAATTCCATGCTTTTGTTGTCGAGTCGGAGAAGCTCATCATTGTCACCCGATTCGCCAACAAAATTCCGAAAATAATACCAACAATGACTAATATGTTATTACTGTTTCGAAACAGGTCGCATCTGCAACAAGTGCAGCCACCGTCGAGGTTGGAAGAGTGACAGCACAGGGGCCAGGTGATGCGTCACAAGTGGAACACGTGACATTGAAGAAAAAGCCCAAGTGCAAGTGTTGCGTACTCCAGTAACCGATGTGGTGTGAAGCAAAGTTATTGAAAATCTGAAGAAGAATGATGAAATTAGAGGCCCAAGGGCCTGAGGACACATGTCGGGGTCTTGAATGCTCTCAGTCGAGAGGAATCTATGATTATCGTTTATCGATGTATCCTCGGTGCATTGTTATTCCGACGATTTGACTGATCGTTCAGGGGGAAAATGCAAAAAGTGAATTTTTTTTAAATACTTCAATTCATGGACCACCAATGTCCCACTCTGCGTGACAAAATATGTAACAAAGCACTCACTCTGCCACGCTTTTTTTTAAAGTGAGAAATGGAAAATGGACGTGAAGCTCTAGTGCTGAAAGATATTGATGGAAATACAAGAAAATTATATATATTAAAATATATTGTAGATACAGAATGGTAGCTATATAGCTTATATGCTTTTATTATTGTGGTTATTTATCGGTAAGATTAATCGTGATCAATCGGAAGACGAGGTGGAGCAATTGGGGGGTAATTGAACAGATGAATGATTGCAGTAGCTGGACGAGCATGGGCATAGAGAAATTCATCAAATATCGAGCCAAATATTTCTGGAACAATCTCTTTTTTTTGCATCGAAACAGAATTTTTCAAATGAATAAAAATGAATAAAGTCAAGGAAATAATCGAGTCGAGGGGATTTCCCTCCGATCAAAATGCAGAATTCAAGAGCTATTAATGGATGACACGATGTAAATACTACAGAACGTTATAATGCGTTTGGAGATTGCGTTAATACGGAAATGAAGCGGGAATAGATGTTTATACGTTGAAATGTATTTTGGGTGGATAAATAATGGAATGCTATTTTGAATGGCAGTTTATGTGGACATGAACTCTCACTGTACTGTTTGAATTGTGGGAGAAACTGAGATTGTGGCGAGTGGAGATCCCTGGTCGTGCACAAGTCATTCATTGTAAACCGAAATTGCAATAGTTCAATGATCCGTTCAGTCAGATTGGGAGATATTTATTTGAGGATATTTTTTTTGATAAAGAGTTTTGACAGTGGAAATTTGGAGGAATATTTCGATCGAGTTACTTATGGATTTCGGTACAACGGAGTCTAGTTTCCATTCCCCAGGGGGTGATTTTTATTTGAGGAAGTTCAGACGTGAATGTATAGATATTTAATCAATATCGAAATATTTATGAATCGAATGATGAAACCCTTAATGTGTACGTAAATTCACATAAGTATTTGTTTTTTAATTGTTTAAAAAAAGAATTGAATGGAGAATAAGATTTTAACATTGATGATTGTTCATTAAAAGTGTACCATAAATTCTTGTAATTATATACAGAGTAAAAAATCCTGAATATTTATTTGTTTTTTAAAATTAATGGAAAAATCATTGTTTCTTGGATTTTAATTTATTTGAGGTTGCCCACTCGTCTGTTTCTTTCAATAATCGAACAAATCCGGAATGAAAAGTCAAGGAATCGATGTCTGATAGCGACGAATAACAAACTGGAATCGATCAAATTATAAAGTCATTGAGAAATCACAATTTGGCTGCGATCTGTGTTTCTGATTGTTTTTTATTATCACAAGAGACTGTTCGTTGGATGTGAGGTGGCAAAGATAGTAAATGAAAACGATAAAGATAAAAACCTATGAAGTGAAATTTACAATTTTTCTATTCAATACCCAAAGTGTCCCAAGTGGAGCAAATTCAAAGACAGTTCTGTAGTCCAGTGAAAAAAACTGAACGAATGCTGATTCCAAAAATAATGAGCGAGTTTACATTCTTTGGATAATTTTATTTCCTTCTTAACTATGCGACTAGATCGACGCAGAAATAAATTCGCGATAGAAATGAAGAATGTGACAAAGAGGAAAAGAAATGATGAGCGACATAGGCTTCCGCTTTTTCACTAATTCAACTTTTAAAGATGATTTACGAGCGGAAATTAAATCGCCTGCGTGCGTCCGGCAGCCACTTCTAAACTCTCAATCAAGAATTTAAAAAAATCATAGATTGGCTATGAGAATCGTCAGTAGATGGCCAAGATTTTCCTCACAAAAATACAATGTTCGATTTTTACAGCCGGACGATACCAGGTTGTGATCCTATTTTTTAATCTCATGATAAATCGTAAGTTTTAGCCGCTGATTAAGTTTGTATAAGTGTGAGAAATAATTCAAATTACTGAATTAAACATGATGTTAAGTTTTATTCCTTATCTTTCATCATCTGCGAGGATAAACGCTGAAGAATCCTGAATCCTTAAATTTCACTCAGAAGCAATAAACCGATTATTTGGAATAAAATGAGAATGAATAATGTGAAAACCAGGTGAACCTTCAATAATCATTTCAGCTTTTGTTTTTATCGACCTGTTGAGTCTGCTGTGCTTGCAGATATTACATGACCATTAAATGTCTTGTTGAAAACAGAGTTTTCGTTCATTAAACAAAACAGCACGTTCCCCAATCATATTTCTTGATAATTGACACCCGATGGCATTCAAAGCTGTCATCGATGTCTGTTAACCCGAGGATGTGACCAGTCTCCCTCACGTGAATAACATGGATTCTATTCCTCGCCTAAACGACCCACGAACACTGGAGATTTCAATTGAACTGATGGCGAAACAAAAAGGTAAAGCGAGAAGAGAATTGTTCACCTGACGATTAATTCCCCCAATTTCTCATTTAATCTTTAATTTGGTAACAGTTCAGCAGATTATTACTGCCATCGCCACTGGAACATCATTGCGGAATGAATTAATTAATTCCAATCGATTGCGGCCATCTATCCCCGATCTAAAAAATAACCGTCATTGTTACCATTCAATCCATTCCCCTCACCCACATGATTTCCACTCAGAATCGCTACTTGAATAACGGGAATGTGGGTACGGTTTTACAAACCTTGTCCCAAGATTTAAAATGTCAAACGATTGCTCCTTCTATTCAATCCCCATGTTTTATACTTCTTTTCTCAACTCCATCGAGGTTCAGAAACCCCGCGACGCATCCTATTAAAGGTTCAAAAGATCACGTATTCCGATCGTTTGCATTTGCCCTGAAAACTTGGCTGCTAAAAACGATTTTAAAAGATCTTAAAAAATTCAACTGACGACACTGTTGGCCTTTTGACGATTCGAAACACTCCCAGTGGGACAATAAATCGAAGCACGACAGCTTTGATGTTTTCGTCGCTTCTTAGACTCGCTGAAAAATAATTGCATATTTTTCCTTAAGGAGGACAATGAGTCAACGAGGCGGTAACACACGTCAAATGACATTTTTTTATCTCTCATTGATGATGACAACAGCGACCTTTTGAGAGAGAGACGAGACGATGATTTAAGGGTTGAACGGAGCAATGCTCTTCATGGCGTCTGCGTGTCTGCATATCTACAATGAAATCTCGCGGAATCGGAAAATTCGAGACTTCAGCGTGAAATAATCTGCATAAAAATGATATGTTTATGGATATCCGCGAGCAGCGGGGAATTTCTACTCACGATTCTTCGCATTCCGCAATACCCTTGAAGAAGACTTATCAGGATAATTCAGATCTATCCGTCTAAGCCTCCCGGAAATTACCCAACTGACATTGGATCTCAAATATCAACCGATTTTTCCACGTAAGAGGAAAAAAAGGGGCTCTTAAAGGTCTCGGGATGATCCGGATTCTATCTAAAACCTAAGAAAGGAGAACGTCTAGGCAGGATGATACGTAGCCCTTTCGAGCAGCGTGTATGAAGTATCGGAGGGGGACATTTTTTCTCAAACCCACCTTGAATCCTATATAAAGCCCCATGGCTACCATCCCCAGGCTACCAGTCGTGATTTCTACTCGTATCCCGTGAATTTTTTTTCCTCACTCCTGTCGACGATGCCATTTCAAGTGTCTTCTGTTGTATAATTATTTGAACTTTTTTACACAATTTACGTGAGCGCATCGACATGTATCTTCACGTAATAGGATTTTATCTGGTACGTGATTAAGAATTTACGCTAGCCACGAAATTTTTTACGCTTTATTGTAAACACCGACATTAACGCAATCGCATTGACTTATCGGTTGACATGATCCTTGTGCATTGCATCAATGGAGTAATGATTTTGCAACGATTGATATATCTTCATTGAATCCTTAATGTCCGTTTTTAAGTCGTGGGTTAATCAGTAGTGAAAGTGTTCGGTTTGATGGAGACAAACAAAGGAGCCTCTTTTTTTGAGGGGAGGTTTATCGCGGGAAAAAACGCGTTCATTTTTCGAGGAGAAATTAAAAAAGAGAACACTGCGTGAAGTTTTGTAGGAATGCGATTTTGTAGGTCGAATTGGCTTCGGGCGCGGAAAATTGGAGATTTCAATTTAGTGTGACTAAAAGTTTGATTGAAATTGGTAACTGTACTCAAAAACTATTTCGACAATTTACTTATACATGCGTTGGGGATTTTTTAATGTTGAATTTTCGGGTAAGACAAACTCAAATGGTTAATTTTGAATAGTCGGAGACAATTTCGACTTACAAAATCGGATTTCTGAGTGAAAAAAATAGTTAAAAAAAATTACTCGAATAATAAGAAAAATGTTTTTTCTTTGAGGATATCCAAGTATTTTTACATTTTCAATCATCAAATTTGTCAATTAAATAACGTGAGAAATTTTTTAAAACATCATGAATATTCAGCGTTAACTAATTAAATACAAAACAATAAATTAAATTCAATTGATTATTTATAAATTATATATAAAAAATGCTCATGATTTCCAAAAATTAAAATTTCAAATGACTTCATCAATATTTTTCTAAAAGTAAAGTCATTTTTTTCGGATTTAAAAAATGTTTTCTAACGGTTCATAACCGAAATTCAACTTCAGACCTCCAAAGTTTAAATGATAAAATCATTGTGAAATGTCCGGAAACTTGGGGTCAAACGGGGCTCAAATGAAAGCTCCGATGTTCGACTAAAGTAGAAGAGCATTTCACTAGAGAAAAAATAGCCAAAGCCTTGGATATCGTTAATTCAAAAACGATGCAATCGATTTTGTTCGCGTCCTAATCATTTAGATTCGTTAATTGCGTCCATTTATTTGCAAATAAATTGAAAGGTTTTTTAGCTTCTTCTGGGTGTCTCCCATGGAGACAAACTCTCGCCGGGTCAGCGGGCACCCCTCGGAGCAGGAGCCTCCGGTGGATCGGCCCTCATAGCCCCTCTCCGGGGAGGTGCAGCTGACGTTGGAGCTAGATTGGACGTTGGGAGAAGTGGTAATAACCCGCCACTTCCACCTCCGAAACCCGCAGTTTCAGCTAAGACTGAGGATGGGGTCACTAGAGAGGAGACAGAGGAGTTGAAGGAAGTCAACGGGGAGTTGGTGAGAGTCGTCAAGGGAAATTTCGGGTTTGATAGTCCGGAAGGTCTTCCTGTGGCAGTGAAGTAAGTCCTTGAATTTCCAACACTCAACCACATGAGAACAAATTCTATAGAAAAACCTAACGAAATCGATAACAAATTCTAAGGGATTGCCATTGAATTTCTATTGAAAATTCTATCAGTTTTGGACAATTCTTTGAAGAATTCCGCTGCCATTATTAACACATTCCTCAATGTTTCAATCTTTAATTCGTGATCACTCGCTCAACGAGCGCGGCGCCGCCCGGTTTCATTTTTTTTATATTCCATATTTTGTGTTCCTAGACCCTTAAAAATTCTGAAAAAATTAGAGTTCCTAGTTCAATCCTTTTATTAAACATTGAGTTTGTCCGTTTTTGTCTCGGAAAATTCCTTTAGCTAAAAAAAGAAAAGAAACGTCGAACGGATAGAAAAGCCGCGCCGCCCGGTCCGAGCGACAGTGTTGCAATATTCACTGCCACATTTGAAATGCGCACATAGCGGTAATCGTGAAGGTGGCAACAGCGCGCTGTGTGACCCAGCGGCGCTGCGCTACCCGTGCGGCGGATGAAGACAGCGGCCGAGCGCGAGTGGTCGAGGGTTAAAATAAATTGAAGATTCATATGATAAACCCAGCAGATTTCTTTCTATGAAATTTTCTAGTACGCGACAGAATAGTATATTACGTTACAAGTGTGAAAAAATCTTCATCACAATGTCTGGAATCCCCCTTTAAAGTTTCACTTTACGCACAAGTGATGAAATAGAATGGAATGCACAAAATTAATTTAGAGATTGAGTTTCAAAAAAGTTTGTAATTAATTGAGAATGATTTCAAAGGTATCAAGCAGATGAGAATGGAAACAGGGCGAGTTTCACGATTGGAAAGCCTGGAGGTGGTTCTGGAAGACCTGGAGGGGGTTCAGGAGCTGGCGGAAGGCCTGGAGGGGGTTCGGGAGGTGGCGGGAGACCTGGATATGGCGTTGGCGGTGGTGGGGGTGGCCCGCCGACAAAAGGTGGAAAGCCTCCACGTGGGGGTTCAGGGGGAGGTGGAGGTGGCGGAGGGAAGACTGGAGGTGACAGCACTTACCTGCCACCGTCCAAAATGAATCCTGAGAGGGGCTACCTTCCGCCTAGTTAAACCGTTCACGAGAATAATACACAGTCCCTTCAGGACATTTCTTCCTTCTCTCTCGAGTAAAAATTATATTTGACTTTATGACGATACATTTACATGTCTTCAATAATGTTCACTATTATTTTGACAATGATCTTATTTTATTCTGTATAAACGTTCAGATGGAGTTTAAGATCCTCTGTAAGTACTGTAACCGTATGGATTCAATAGCAACGGAAGATGATAATTCTGTTCCGCATTCTTTATCTCTACGATAATGTCAATCTCTGGATACAGGGCATTTGTGGTTGTTGAGTCGAAGTACTTCTTCACTTCGAAGACTAATTTGTAGCGATCTGCTGTCAATGTCGCGTTTGCTATCTGGAGGAGATCCTCGCAGCGTCCGTTTGACAGGGTTTTGCTGATTTAACGGGAAATGAAGAAAAGAGTAATATAATACCAGTGATTTTTAAATTCTATATTAATTGTAATAACAACTCCAATTCAAGTCGACTTGGCTCTCAGCTGAGTTTTTGAGGAATATCTCCGAATCTAAGGGAGATAGCGAAATTTTCGTAATGAGCTTTTTTGTAGCACTCAATTCGCTCTATAAAAAAGGTCCTAACAAAAATGGTGCTATCTTCCCTAGATTTAGAGATATTTATCAAAAACTAATCAACAGTCAAAATCAACGTGAAAAGTTTTACCGCTTCGGTACTGTATTGAAAATATCGAGAAAATGAAAACGTTGAATTGAGGGGAGGTTCACGAGATTGTCTCTGACCAATTAAAATTAGAGATTTGAATTGTTTTATTACAGAAAATTCAGCAAAAAATATCCTCAACCTTCGCATTCTTGAAATAATTTTTCGAATACGATCACCAATTTTCGCCTCTTAATTATGAAAATTGAGGAATGTATTTTGAAGTTCATTTGTCAACAAAAAAATCGTTATTTCAATGGATCTTTATTTTCAAAAATTCCCCAAGAATATCAATTAAAAAGAGGAAATTTCCACAGAAAGAATGCACCAGTAGAATTTTTTGTTACAAATTTTTCCCCGAAAAAAGGAATAGTTTTTCTTCCGGTGTGACCTTTCCTCAATGCCAAACAATAAATTCTCTAGTGTCTCATGATCTTCACTTAAATTTGAAAACATAGATAAGTAACATCAAATAAAAACTTACCTCTCACTAATAAAGCTCCAATTACTTTTAACAAACTTGTACAACTTGATTGGAACGTCTGGCGCTGGGCGGCCAAGAGTAGTGTCCAAGATGTGGGTGGAAATATGTGGCTTGTTCATGCTCAAGAATGTAATCACAATGAGCTACCGGAGTTTCGGACCCTAATGCGCATCATCTGGATGCCTCAAGTCGGAGGTCATCGCAATTCGCACTATCTTATCTCAAGATTCCGCAGAAGGGGAGAAGGGGATGGATAAATCATCGAGTGCGAGAAATGCCTTTATTTCATAAAACCTTAGCTCCAAATACAATTAAATGAAGAACTTTGTACAAACGATACTGAAGAAAATATTGAAGCACTCTCCGCTCCGTTGGGCTCAACCTTACAAAAATAACTCTTATCCAACGAAAATGTTGCGAACGAACTTAATTCTAATCTGATATCGTTAGAAAATTCGAAAGGCCACTGGGCATAGCAGCCCATCATATATTCCGAAAATCTGAAATTGGGATTTAATGAACATAAGTTGAAAAGGTAAAGTCAATTCACCAAGGCATCCACATCATCTGTCAGTGCCCCTGTACGTGGTGTACCCGAATGGACTTAATAGAACCGGTATGTGGTAATTTCCAGTGGGATTCTTCACATCGAAAACAATTTCGATGAATGGGTACAGCGTCTCGATTCTCCTGAGAGTGAAGTATTTGTCGACATCGAAGTGCATTTTGTAACGACCAGCAGTGAATGCAGTTTTCCCTGTGTTTACGAGGTCTGTGCAACGTCCACTTCCACTGGTGGTACTGCAGCAGACGATAAAATTCAATTTTTCATTAATTAATTAAGCAATCAAATTTTTTTATTTCATAAAGAATTTTCACTCAATCCTTTGGTCAAGAAATATTCGATTCTTCTCAAAGGAAACTGACAGCATGACTATCTATTTGACCTCTTTTGGCTTGGCCTTTCTTTATTTCATGATTTTCTGTAAATTCCCCATAGGAATCGTATTCCTTTAAAAAATAGTGCCTTTTCCCAAAAATTTTCGTTTTTGTTTTTCAAGAAGATCTTGAGTGTTTATCGAAAATCGTAAGCATTCAAAAAATTTCGATTCTTTTTCAAAATATAGTATCTCCTTTATATTTATAAAAAATTTAGTCCACCAACCCCAATTAATTATCAATGAATTATCAATTAACGTTCTTTCGTGTATAAGATGCAAATTTGTTTATTTAATTTTGTCAAAGCTACTGCAATTAACCTTTCTCAATTATCAAAAATGTAAATTTCATGTTCCCCTACCATTATAAAAATTACAGAATTTTCCTCGAACATAAAAAAATTAGATTAAAAAAAAAACTAAAACAAAGACTAAAACTAAAGAGTTAAAACCAAAATAAAGAGATGAAAAACAATAATTGAAACGTAAAAAATACCTCTCATTCAAGAACGTCCATCTTCCATCCATGAGCTTGTACAAGCTGACTTGGAGTCCAGTAACAGGAGTCCCCTTGCTCGTATCCAAAACATGCGTTGAAATGCAAGGATTCTTCACGACATCAACCTGCTTCTGCGCCTCCTGCTTCTGAACCTCCTGACCGCTCTGCACACTAGTGCTAGCCCCCGTCCCACCTGAATTAGGAGCAGCAGCTCTCTTAGTCCCACTCTTGGGAGCCAGTGGTCTGTGATTAACAGTCTTGGATCCTGCCATCACCAGAGCTGGCAGATTTCCCTTGACCTTGCTCAGAACGAATTGCGCCCCCCCACCAGGAAGTTTAGAGGCATTAAGAGTGACGGCCTTAGCAGCATTCAGTGTCACTGTTTTGTTATTGCTAGTGGAAATGGTGACTGTGTTGCCTGCTTGCAAGTTTATCCCAGCGAGATCTGAACTGTTGATTTTATAAGCGAGAATTTGCGGCTGCTGAGTGGTCTGTGCAGCTGAAGTCTCCTCAGCATGTTGATGAACACGTTTTATCTTCATTTTTTCCTGTCTCTCGTCATCACTGCCACCGCCTTCGTCGTTCTTATCAGGGAGAATAGTCGTTTCACTCTCGACCTCCATGTCCAGTCCCACTGTTTCGTGTTCTTCATTCTGCTCGAGGTAGTCCTGATGTACGTGGGCCATCGCCTCTGCGAGGGCATCTCTCCTGGGGTAATGCTCCAGCTTGATTTTCTTGGGCGATGGCTCCTCGTCACCAGACGTCATCTTCACGCTCGAGTTGTCTGCTTCCTCCTCTTGACTCGCCTGCACATCGTTCTGATCGTTCGTTTCCTCCTCTTCCTCTTCTTCTTCGACTTCTAGACTCTCAACTACGTACTCGAACTCCTCGTTCTCATCGTCATCCTCGTTGGCCAGACTTTTGAGAGAACCCACTACTGTTACTTCCTCGAAGCCTGACTCGGTTTCAGAGACTTTATCTGGATTATCTGGGTTTTCTCCGTTATCTGGGTCGTCTGAGTGAGTGCCTTTTTTTGCGTTCTCTGTCTGGGCCAGGAGGGCTGCTCGCTGATGCTTCATTGTGCATGTGTGCTTCAAGAGGGAGAGACGGTGGGCGTGGAGGTTCTTTTTGCAGTAGATGCAGAAGGCACGGGTCGGTTGTGAGGCCACTGATGTCAACCATCCTGGAATGATTGATAATTATTTCATGGGTTTTGATTGTTCAAGAGATTTTTCTTGAAGACTTGAGGTTTTAAGGATGTTCGACACCCTTTTAGCCAAAATTGACGTTGTTTTCATTTTTCTGGCAAATTATCGATGGGAGTGACGTGAAAAAATATAACGATTTTGTGGTTTGTCATTCTTTAATGGCTCACGAAGTTGCGTAGTGGTGCGATAATTTTCATGCGTTTTTTCTACAGTTTTGTGATTCTTTTTAAAAGTTTAGAGAAAACGCAGGAAAATGTTCGCACCACCTTAAA